ATCAGCATCTATATCATGATAAAAACATTTTGCTGGCTCCACATATCTTATTTATTACAACAAAACATTAAAACTAAAATCAATTCAAACCCTTTATATTATTATTTTTCATTAAATAAAAAAAAGTAATTTACAAAAATAAATTAAATATTAACAAAAACAAAAAATTATATATGCAACACAAAATATATAAATTCTGAATAGAGATTGAATAAATATAAAATTAGATAATTACTCCCTCCATTTCATAATATAAGATGTTTTGGATAAAGTTTTTTGTTTCACAATATAAGTCGTTTTCGAGTTTCAATGTAAACTATATATTATTTTAATATTTTATGATTATTTATATTATGCAGTCTCTTTTATAATTGGTTAAATTTTTAAAAAGTAGATTTTTTTTAATCGGCGTGCTTTTACCTAAAACGACTTATATTATAAAACGGAGTGAGTATATCTTATCATATAATAAGTAGATATATTAAATGGTTAGAGATATCAAAAAATACTTATCATATATTTTAATGGAACAACAATCATTTTTAATAGTTACAATTATTAAGTAGAATAAAGAAAATATGAGTAAAAATAATATCAAATTTAAAGGTTTTTACTTAAAATAAAAAGTAATTTATTTTTGAAAATACACATTTAAATTTTGAGAATATATGTGTTAATGTTAAAATATCAATTCATGATACCAATTAGAAAATAAGAAGGATTGATCAGTACATATTATTATTTATAATTATAATTTATTAATATTTTCTAAATTAAGTTTAAAAAAAAAACCAAATGAATATCTGAAAAATGAAAAATAAATGTTAAACATCAAAATCAAATAAAGTTATTTGAAATAAAACAAAAGAACTATCTTAAACATCAAAATCAAAATAAAATAATCTAATCGAATAATAAAAATATGTAATAATATTAATTGAGGATGCGATATGGAAAATAGAATAGTAATAGTAGATCGAAGAGTTTTTAATTATAAATAATAAGAAAGATTTTATTGAAAAAAAATAAACGTATTTAAAATTACAATTAGGAGTTTGTATGTTACAAATTTAGGAAAATCAATATTAAGAATACTATCCAGTATCAAAATATACGTCAAATTATATATGTGAAAAGAAAATTTTGTATTTTTCAAACGGTCAAGATAAATTGTAAAAGTTGACGCTGAAATCCGATGTTTGTGAATAGTCATGAGTCAATATATTAGATTTGTCATCTATAAAGCACTTTTACATGCACCAAAAGATAAAGAGAGAAATTGTAGTGTAGTAAAATGTAAGAACTTTGAAAAGATAATGCACATGAATAAAGTAAAAAAAAATTAAAATTCAAAATATTTGCATTAATAAACGTTTTAAACTAAAATCCCACGCAACGCGCGGATACACAATCTAGTAATAATCCCTGTTCTAAAAATCGGCCGTCTAGCCGCGCTGATCGGATGGGGACCGCGGCGATTTTGTCCAAATCGGTAAAAAAAAATCGGTGATCCGATTTTTGTCCGCCTAGCCCGCCTAGACGGCGCCTAGCCCATTTTTTTTTTTTTTTACATTTTTTTTTCTTTTTTTGAATCCAAAATTTAAAACGTCCCACTTATGTTCATAATTTGTATAAAAATCATAAGTTTGACCTTAAATTCTTGTTTTCATGTATTTAATGCAATTTTAAAAACAAAATTATAGAAATTTCTTATTTATAATAGATTAATATGTTTTTAAAATATTAAATAGCCTTAAAACTAGTCCCCGATTAATCTCCGTTTAATCTCCGATTTTCTTGCTAGGCGCTAGGTCCACCCTCACCGCCCTACTAGCGCCTAGCAATTTTTTAAACAAGGGTAATAATAGTAGTCAAAAACTCAAAATATACAGGCCACTCAATAAGAAACAAACAAATAAATTAGTAATGGATTTTGAATACATACATCGAAAACATACACAATAGTTATACCATAAACCATTAGTGAAAAGCATTACAAAAACAAGATTTTAGATAACAGAGCCAGTTTGAGGCCCAATAAGCCCAAGAACCTCATCCCAAAGACCATGACTTTGGACAGCTGAACCAAGCTCAACAACACTGGAGCTACAAGCAGCAACTGTCCAATAACCTCCCAAGATCTCTGCTTTCAACTGCTCTTTTTCCCAACCACAATACCCATCAAAGAATCTAAACTCACTTCTTCCAACCAAATTCCTCTTCACCATTTCTGCAGCCAATCCTACACTCTCTCTTGTTCCATAGTACAATCCTTTCATCACTTGTCTGAACAATCCGCTCTTACCAACCTCGTTGCCTCCACCACATCTTGGACTCACCAAGAACAACCCTTCTTCCAAAGGTCCACCAAAGAAGAGTCTTTTGTCTGAAAACGTTCCTGCCATGTCTAATATCGTTGACTTGGTCTCCTTAATCGACATCAGCGATGGACGGTTGAGGATGACTCCTATAGGACCTGAGGGTCCAACAGAGAGGAGGAGGATCACCGTCTTTTCGAAGATGTGGACACCATCTAGCTTCTCTGTGGCGATTAGAAGGCAGCCTGTTTCAGGCTCATGGATCTTGTGTGCCCATCTGCTTCCAATTGTGATCAGTGAGGAAGATGATGGCTGATAGTCCACCACCATGTCCGGGTTAGACCACGAGGGCTGATCCTTCTCGGACGTTGCAGCTTGTTCCCCTACAACAAGCCTTGCCCTGAATTCCCTCCAATCAGCATCTGCTGTAGAATTGTTGACACAATCCTTGAAAAGATCAGAATCATCGTCCAGTGGCTTCCATGAATCCGAAAGAGAACCTACTCAAACAAAAATGCTCTCATCAGCTAAACAAAATTTCACTCAAGACAGGCAAATTCTCAAACCAAGACATGTAATTGTAATACTCAAGCCGTTCTCATAGATTAAAATGACCATGAAAGAGATCTTACTTACAATTTACAGAGATCGGAGAAGCAACCTTCCTGGTGATAAATTGGCCAGAATTTCTCTTGGGGCAAGTAAAGATTCTTGCTTTGATAAACGGGACAAGCTCTTTGACACCAGAGATTGATCTTGATGTAAGAAAACAAGCATCCATGATACCTTCTCTCTTTATATCTCTCCCTCTATCTTTCTCTTTTCCTCTGACTCAAATTCACTTTAATTCCTATGAAGAGAAGGCAGAACATAAAAGTAACATCTAAATATAAGAGAGTGGACAACTGTGAACCACAGGCTGAATGTATTAAGTTCTAAGGGGTCCTAGTCAGAGGAATGGGCAATGGATATACTTTAGCCTTTAAGGCGTTGATGTATTTAAAGATAAACATTTCCATATGCGTTTGGATTTTGGATAAGAGACAAATCTTTTATCACCTTTTTTTTGATGATGTGTAGGCCTAGTGGCCACTCAAGGTTTGCTTCTGTAAAAGTTACTTACCCACTCCTGTGGAAAAAAGCACACACAATTACTATATACACCAACTAAATAAAATCCATCCCCACAATCTCTCACCCTCTTATCTCTTTTTATATGTAAATGAGTAAAAAAATTGGATCATTTATCATTCATAAAGGGTCTTAAGAACAAGTGAATGACAATTCTAATGGGTTTAGACTTTTTTTTTTGGAATGATCAAAGTCATCTATGGCGGATGGAGCAAATCAAAAGAAGCACTATTGGTGGTCCTCTTTTCTCCATTATTTAATTACTATATTCAATGGAAATCACTTCAAAAACGAGATTAAAATCATTAAGACATTGATTCTTGTAATAAAATAAACCCCACGAGTTTTGTCCTAATTTGACCATCTAAACATCAAGTCTAAACAAACTAGTTGGTTCATCCAAAGGTAACATCACCAAAAACACGTCATCATACTGACGTACAATGGTAATACATCACCGACAATACATCATCAGTGGAATTTTCATTAAATTCAAGTTCTAAGTTTAATCTTTTTTCACAAAGTCACAATATTACTCACAATGAGGTTATGTGGGAGTTTGAATGTCTTTTGTCCTCCATGATCTTCTCTTGTTACTGTCATCTTCAAGGTTGATCACATAACCTGTTGTGGGACTAAGAACCAGAACCTCCATGTCTGGAGTTAGTATTGCAAAATCAAATTGATCTCAAGATTTATAAATTATGCTATATACAGTACCAGAACTCGTTACAAGGATAAAACAACTTTGTGTTCCTTTGGAAAATGAACTACAAATTTATGGCCTAGGCCACACTGCTGATGCTCACAGCCTATAATAGATATATTACCTAATGATCTTGACATCGCGAACATAAACTACACAGTTTATCCAACAGCAACCAGCTCACCGGGATCTTGAGGTTCAATTAAACTACCAAGCATCTGATAAATTTGATCAGATTTTGGGTGTGATTTGTCAAAAACTGTAAATTCGTGTATCCCATCCTCCAATTCAACCGAACTAGCTCCAGATGGTTTCTCTACTCCCATACTCTTCATCTTTGACCTTATGTCAGCAACTCCTTCCCAATCCTCTGCTGCTGCATAAATATTTGACAGCAGCGTATAGTTTCCCGGATCAGAAGGGTCTAATTTAACCAGATTATCCAGAACTTCCTTAGCGATATCCACCTCGTTATGCATCCTGCACGCTCCAAGAAGAGCACCCCAAATAACAACATTCGGTTCCATAGGCATTGTTTGGACAACTTTTATCGCTTCCTTTAACCGCCCTCCTCGACCTAATAGGTCAACAAGACAACCATAGTGTTCAACTTTTGGAACAAGATCATACACTTTCTCCATCGAGTAGAAATAATCTATGCCTTCATCAATGAGACCCGCGTGATTGCAGGAACACAAAACAGCAATAAATGTGACTTTATCAGGCCAAATCCCTTCCTTTCTCATTCTCGAAAAAAGCTCAATTGCTTCTTTTCCGTGGCCATGAACACCAAGACCATGAAGCATAGTGTTCCAAGAGACGAGATCCTTCTTGGGCATGTCGTTAAACACATCAAACGCTTTTTTTAGGCTACCACATTTCGCATACATATCAAGTAGTGCATTTAACACAGAAGCATTCGAATTGAGGTTAGACTTTTTTATTATAGAATGAGCCCTCATTCCTAAACTAAGCAAACCAGACTCGGCACAAGCAGCCAAGATACTAATAGCAGCAGCAGCATCAAATCTCAATCCTGAAGCCACCATTTGGTCGACTAATTTATCAGCCTCCTTCAAAAGCCCCTTCTCCGCATATCCAGCAATAATTATCGTCCAAGTGACCACATTTTTAGCCGGAAAAGGCATCTTATCAAACATAACTCTAGCCATTTCCATATCTCCAGCTTTACTATAACCCATAACCATCGTCGACCAAGACACCGTATTCCTCTCAGGCATTTTCTCAAACAATTCAAACGCTCTACTCATCTCTCTACATCTAGCATAACCATCCAACATAGTATTCCAACTAATCAAATCCCTTTGAGGCATTTCATCGAACAGTTTCCGCGCATCTCTCAATTCCCCAGCTTTCACTAACCCACCAAGCATCGAATTCCAAGACACAGTATCTCTCTCACTCATCTTCTCAAACAACTTCATAGCATCTCTAACACCCAAACCACCACATCTAGAATAACAATCAATGAGAGCATTAGGAACATAAATATCCGACGAAAGCCCCAATTTTTCGATATGATTATGCATCATCTTCACCACAGGTAACCATGATAGACCCGAACAAGCTTTAAGAAGAAACGGGTAAGTGAAATTATCAGCAAAAAGACCAAATCTTTGCATCTCTGAGAAAACGAAGAAAGCTTGATAAGGCTGCGAGTTCAACGCATGAGCTCTAATCAGAGAATTACAAAGATGAACATTTGGTTCTTGAACCTGATTAAAAACCCTAAGAGCTAAATTCGTTTGACGACAGAGAGAAAGAGCAGAGATTAGCTTTGGTGCTATGTGTAGATCTTGATGAAGATTCCGTCGAATTATCTGGGCGTGAAGTTGCTTCACTTGGTTTAAATTGGCGCATTTGGGAAGATCTTGAAGTCTCTCTTCGAAGATTCTCCGGGAAGAAACCCATGACGGAGCTCGAACTGGTAGTGATGACGTCATCAATGGCGGATCCAGTGGAGAGAGTGGATTAAGCTTTGATTATGAGAATTAGGGTTCGCATTATGAAGAAGAAACGGAGAATTTTGTAATTTGAGAAAAAGTGTGATAAGTAGCTTCTGGTTCTGGATATTATCCGCGGCATATGTTCAAACGAATCACAACTTCGGCTACTAATAGGCCTGCGATTTTGACCCTAACCCAGAAATACCGAAACGTGACAAACCGAGATTTTTGGTTTTCGGTTCAGTTTCGGTTTTTTTACGGCTGAATCGATTGCCCAAATTTTTGGGTTCGTTTACCTAAAATTTCTTTGTTCGGTTTGGGTTGAACAAATCGGTTTCTCGGGTAACTATTTCTTATATTCGGATTATACCAAAACTAGACCAGTTTATATCCAAATATATTAGATCGCTTTTCACCAATATTCGAATTTAACCAATGTGAATTACCCGTATAAAACCAAAAATATCCAAATGTAACCGAATTTTAATAAAAAAAGTTTTGAAAAGCAAAATTTTAGTTTGAACCAACCAAACCAAATTTCTTTTCGGTTAACTTCGAATACCCTCTCAAATACTTAGATTAACCGATAACGGAAACTAATTCGGTTAACCGATGTTATAGGCATAATTAATATTGTCAGTTTTCTTTTTTTCGTGAATGATGAAACTAATATATAGCAATAAATTTGGTTCAAACTTCGAACCGTTTGTTACACCTAAGTTTGAAGGGATTCATGTGGTTTTAATCTTTGGACAATGCAGAACCTCTTAAATATTCATTGAAATTGTCATTGATTGTAGTGACCTCATATACGTGACTAGTCCTACGCAAATTAAAGAAAGTATAAAAAAGGAACGGAACCAAAAGGAATTGAGTCAAACCGAATGGATATTATAAAACATCTAAATAGATCTTAAGCTTGAGAACCAAAACAATAGGAAACGAACTGGTACCAAACTGGTACCGAACTGGAATATTTTAGGTATCTAAAAATATCTGATATACAATTATATTCAAAAATATTATTTAGTTTTTAGATAGAATTATAGAAAATACCAAAAATTCCTGAAAAATTATCCAAAATACCAAAAACTCCTAAGAATATCCAAAAATACTTGAAAATACTTTTACAAAGACCTAAATGGATCCTAATCTTCAGAATCGGATCCAAACCAAAACCGATCCTAAACTCCAGAATCGAAAGAACCAGAAACTGAATGGAACCAAACTGAATACACAAACATCCATGCCTATACGTGACTTATGCACCAGAGAAAGGGTTGGTTTATAGCGTCGGGCTCATACTATAAGAAATATTGGCAATCTTAACACACCGAAAACGCTACAATATCGTTTACATAGCGGATTCATAAACGCTGTTTTTGCCAGAGCTATCTTAGAGTGGTCACATACAATAGCGTTTTTTGGCTATGGTATTAAATGTACCCCTATAATAGCGTATAATATATGTTATGCTGTCCTTTTCTGTAGTCCTTTTTAAAAACTATAATATATTGTTTCATTACTGTTTTTCTAGATTATTGTATGTTGTTTAGTAGCTCTTAGAGCTACAATATAACATATTATGTTACGTAGTATAGCATTTTGTTGATGTTATTTTTTGCAATTATATTTAACCCTTTTTCAATTTTATATATATATATTTATATTTCTATATAAATTAAATTTGGTCAACAATATATATTAAATATATTTATTCCATAGAAAATTTAGAAAAAAAAACATAACAAGTCATTGAAACTCTAATCCAAGCCAAATCTTAAATTAATATTGTCAGTTTGTTACACCTAAGTTTGAAGGGATTCATGTGGTTTTAATCTTTGGACAATGTAAAACCTCTTAAATAATTCATTGAAATTGTCATTGATTGTAGTGACCTCATATACGTGACTAGTCCTACGCAAATTAAGAAATTATCGAACAGGAACCGAACCAAAAGGAATTGAATCGAACCGAATGGAAATTATAAAACATCTAAATAGATCTTAAGCTTGAGAACCGAAATAATAGGAAACGAATTGGTACCGAACTGGAATATTTTAGGTATCCAAAAATAATATACAATTATATTCAAAAATTTTACTTAGTTTTTAGATAGAATTACAGAAAATGCCAAAAATTCCTGGAAAATATCGAAAATACTGACAATTTCCGGAAAATATCCAAAATATCAAAAACTCCTAAAAATATCCAAAAATACTTGAAAATATCTGAACAATACGTAAATGGATCCTAATTTTCAGGATCGGATCCAAACCAAAAATGATCCTAAACTCCAGAATCGAAAAAATCTGAAACCAAATGAAAGCAAACTGAACACACGAACACCCATGTCTATATGTGACTTATGCACTGGAGAAAGGGTTGGTGTATAGAGTCGGGCTCATTGAATTTCTTTTTTATTTTTGAATAAAATATTAAATTATATTGAAAGAAAAAAAATACAGTTTTACATAATCAACTGTTTTTATTTATGAGATGCATTTGAGATAGAAATAGAGCTTGGAACTAGAAATCAGAGATTTTGAGTAGAAACAGAGATTTGAATGACTCTCTGTAACTGCATGAAGCAAACCAAGCATGTAGGCCTTCTTCATATTGTCGGTCTCCCATCAGTTGTATTGCCGAGAGTTAGTTCCAGATCTGATTATCAATCCATTGGATGAGCTTGGTTATACTATTTGGTGCTTCGTTATGGCGTCTTGTATTATTTTCTCTCTATATAGAATGAATCATGACTTAAAAGTTATATCTTGCCAAGAATGAGTTAGCTCATTGAGATTTTACTTCTTAGTAACTGTGGAAGTCGAAACTAACACAATCAAGATTTGTCTAGGGTTTTATTTTAGGGATACGATAAAAGTGAATTCTCAAAGAACAACAGAAACAATTGTAACCAAAGGTGGTGTTCTTGATCTTATTGATGAAAAGAGTAGTTTTGATCGTACAAGAGTTTGATCGTAAAAGAAAAAAGGTGTTTGTGCTGTAAGAGCTTTGTGTAGTGTAAATTCTAGAGCGATATTGCTTGCCCTCTCCATGAGAGCCTTGAGTCTCTTTATATAGGGATGATAGGCCGCCTCTCAGGCGATATTCCCGGAAGATTTCCATTTATCTTGAAGTCGGCTAGAATATCGCGGATTAGGAATATTTCCTTATTCTTCGGAGTTTTCGGAAGTTTTCCTGATTTGAGTCGATCCTCTAAGATTCTCTCCTATCATTTCCAACTATATCGGAAATGACCTTTCTTTATCGGAAATGACCCCTTGCTTAGAAATGGTGCTTTTGAGGTGAATATTCTTCTAAGTCTTTGCCTCGGGTAACATGGACGATGTGGCACGACACTTGACCCGAGCCAGCGAGACTCGGGTACTCTTGTCGAATGGCTCGGGCGCACGAGGAGAAATGGCTCGGGCGCGCGAGGAGAAGTGGCTCGGGCGCGCGAGGAGAAGTGGCTCGGGCGCGCGAGGAGAAGTGGCTCGGGCGCGCAAGGAGAAGTGGCTCGGGCGCACGAGGAGAAGTGGCTCGGGCGCACGAGGAGAAGTGGCTCGGGTACCGGAGTTCGCTGTTGGAAACCGAAGTAAACCTCGCCTTTTTCCCGAGGTGGGTGCAGTGCCGTCCCGAGGTGACTTGCTGGCTGCCCCGAGGTTAATGCGTGCAGTCCGAGGCGACCTGATGGCTGCCCCGAGGTGTCCAAAGTCTGGCTCGGTACTACGGGGTGGAATCCGACCCCAACAGTAACTAATTCTTTTTTTGTTCTCATGGCATCGTAATTGTCACATTGATTTTTGAGATAATTGACTAAGAGACAAAGATTTTGGGTCTAATTAGTTTTTCACAAATTCTTGTCATAGCCCATAACAAAGAAAACATTAGCCCAACTTTCTCCCAAAACTAACCCTACGCGCTTAGCAAGGGATGACCCATTACGTTAGATAAAAGTCTTTTTTTACTCTAAACTCTAAGTCCCATCAATAGTATCTCTCTCTCTCAGATCTCTTCGACCTCAGCCTTGGTGATTAAAATCACAGCACTGTAGCAACTATTTCCACCGTCGTACCGTATTTTCAGTCCATTCTGTTGCGATAGTTCATTTGGAATAAATTTTTAGGTGAGTTTATTTTGCCGGTGGTTCGCCGATTGTATGGCGATGGTTAACCATTTCTTGTTTAAATTTCAAATTTTTTAATTTATTTATTATGAAATAGAGGTTTTGAAATTTCTTGCATACACAATATATGATCCAATCCATTTTTTCCCATTTTAATTTCTGTTCTTTTCCTGTTAATTACCTCATTCTCAAAATAGTTTATGTTTTCATCTTCACGGATCTTCTTAGATATTCACAGATGTACCTAGATCTACACAGATCTACTTAGAGATGCACACATATAAGTATATCTGCATACTTGTTTTTAATCGATGTTTGGTGCTCCAAATATTATTGTAAACATCCATTCTGCAATCATATGTTCTCATTTGAGATTTATAGATCTACTTTTTGAAATTTTGTTTTCTCTTTTCCAGGAGCATGGCTGATTTGGAGCTACTTACTTGGTTGTGTGCGAATAAATAAGAACCGGCTCGTAATAGAATGAACCAGAGCATTTAATAAAGGTCATTTCATTCCTTTTTGCCAAAAAAATTGATGGTTCTATCACACGCGTATAGTTGCGTAACCACCTGGGTTTTCCATAATTCTTTTGAAACTGAAGGCCATTAATAACGCTTTATTTTTTTTCCGTGTAAGACAAAATCGCCTTTTATTGATTCCATAATTTGATGCTCTGTTTTTGTGTCTACGCTAATCAACCCTTGATTTTTTTTTCCTTTTCTAATGTTCTATATACTAGATGAATACCCACGCTACGCGTGGGTTTGTTTTAAAAGTTGTTAATAACAAATTATTTTGATTGTTCTTGTTGCTAGTTAATCACCCGCTAATCATTTACTCATAGAACAACTACTCTTAGTATTAAAATACATTTTCAACCAACATACTCAACAATACATGACTCACACAATCCGTAAACAATCTTTCCTAAACCAATTTTATAGATGGTAATGTTGGGATTATAGAACCTCCAAAATTTGATGAACTTACGTACTCTTCACCCTCAATGTCATATATAGATAAAAAAATAAGAGAAAAACTTACTCAAACCATTAGCTAATCCACTATACTATTATCCACTCATATTTTGAGTTAAGATTACAAAAATTAGCGGAAAAAAACTTTGGAGTATATATAACCAATAAAATAATTTCATGGAAAAATAACATAAAATAACAAAATAAGTTAGTATTAGTAAAAATCAATATGTAAAAAAAATTAAATAATATATATAATTAAATAATAAATATATTATTAACTTGTGAAATAGATTTTCAAATTCATATGGGCCATCCCTTATAGGCTATTGTGTTTTCCCCATTTGACATTTATAATTAAAAGCTGATGTGTAAAAAATAAAAGATGACTCATATTAATGAAATGTTTTGATTGGATGGAAAGAAAGCTGATGTGGCATTTGCAGAAGAGCCTAAAATGCTGACGTGGCGACCATATGGAGAGAGATAACCTCTTTTCATATATATGATTAGAAGAGACCTCTAAATGATTGTAAGCCTAAATTTGTTTTTATTTTGTTGCACTTTTTTATAATCAAATTTTCTTTCTTTTTTTCCTTTTTAGCTGAAATATCACATTTATTAATTAATTAGAAAAATTAGAAATGAGAATTCTAAAACATAAAAAAAAAATAGAAAAATAGATTAACGTTTCTAGAGCGTTCGGAATGCAAACCACTGCTAGAGAAACTATTCAGGCTTATGCGATGATTGGTAGTTGAGAGAGCAAATTTTTTTTCTTACTGCCTTGTCCAATACGAGCGGTGAGCTGTGAGGAGTCAAGCTAGTTGCGTTGATGAGGTCTTGTATTTCTGTCACACCATAAGAAGTATATGGTGGTTTGGAAGTACGTAATAACAAAAACATAGTTAAGACGAAAAAAGCTAGCAGAGGTAAGATGTGTAAATATATACGAGACCAATCTAAAGTAGTTGCGGATGATAACATGGGATTTTCGCCCATATTTGTTATTCTTTTCTTATGTTTTAGGGAGCATTTGGAGTGATTTCAGAGCTAAGAGGGATTTATTCAAGTATTTATGGACCCAAGAAGGTTTTAAGAGTTTTCGAGCTTTAAAGACCAAAAGGCGATCAAAACCCGTTTCAAGACAGTTTCTGTACGTCAGAAGTATGACATCCGTTCGAGATCTTCCCGGTTACTAAATCAAGAGATCGGTAGCTGTGGAAAGCTAGAAGAGTCAATATTCGCCTCGAGGTAGAATCAGAGCTTTTCCTTGAGCCGTTCAGAAGTTATGACCAGAAGAATGAAGACATGTCTAGACCGACCAGGAGCTATGCGATCGTTCCGGAGCTTCTAGAGCGCACCGGTCACAAGGGCCGAGCCCGGGCTGCCTCCTACTCTCCAACCCGGTCACTAATGCCTCTACCCTGTCCAGAGACGCGAGTTACACTTGACCTAATCTATGGAAAAAGACGCTTTTACTCCTAGACCTAACCCTTGATTCCCGAAACCTATAAATACATGTTGAAAGCCCTAAACCTAGTGTGCCTTCGCCGAGCTTCAACCGTGCCTCTCAATCTCTCTCTGCCCTCGCCGTGAGCTGCAGCCGTCGTCCATTGAAGCTTTGAAGAATCACCAAATCTCTCTCTCTTTTCTCTTGTTTTCTCTAAGATCTATTAAGGTGAAGTCTTACCTCTTGTATTCTACTTTCAAAGAAGTAATCTCTAAACCCTATTCAGTTCTTATTCTTTTCTTTCTCATGAGTTTATCAAACCTTACTTTGATGATATCTTTAACCATGCTAGAGTAGTTTTATAGTTGGGTTTAAAGGGTTAATCAAAGGGGGGACATGATCGATCGTTTAAGTGGCGATACTTAGGGTTTTGTTTGATCGTTTACACTGTATTCTTTCTAAGTAAGTTGTTTCTTAATGCATGTAGTTAGATTCATGTCCTAACTCGTGATCCCAAGTGTTTAAATTGCTCACAAGGTTGTTTAATACGCTAGACCTAGCTTACGAATGTGTATCGTGTTATAACAAGCACACACCACTTAGTTATAGGGCTTTATGGACTAGAATCGAACTTGATCTTATTGCTTTGATATGTGCGTCGTTGCCTGCGTTAGTTGAGTAACGGAGTATAAGGATTTTAGCAGACTAATTCTATAACATAGGGTTAGCTGAATCTTAGTGTTTCGTATGTCCGAGACTTGGAAGTAAACAAACCTAATTCTAGTATTTCTTAGATAGCGATCATTGAACTCCCTGCGATACCCTTGATGCCTAACGTTTGTCTCCTATTGATTTCTTACGTTTATTTTACTCGTTTTCTTCACTCGCTTTCTTATTTACTTTTATTTGCAAACCGTGACACCACAACCAACCCCTCTTAATTGTTTTGTCCTAGCTTCGCTTTGTCTAACGACTTGTCCGAACTACTCTCTCTGTGGATTCGATACCCTAAGTACTACGATTGACTGCTGTGCACTTGCAGCTTATTGATCTTGTTATTTGAGATTTTTAAAACCTGATATACGTGTCCCGCACGACACATCAGCGGATCTTAGGACCCCCGCTGAATGCGAACCATGTTGTGTAGGTGTAAGGACACGCAAAGAAGAGACGATCCTTCATTTTTTCATATTTTACACAGAAAACAACGTTTTGTGATCATCCCCACATATTAATATGGTCTCCCATGGACAATTTATTTATCAGGGCAAGCTACACGTTGAAAAAGTAGCGAGAAAAGCCCATAATCTCAAGTTCAATAAACAAAGAAAGAACTCCAATAAGTACTACAATAACTATATAAATATTTTTATTATTAGAATTATAAAATAAATTCATATTCGTGTGTATTTTAAACTATTCCACTAGTTGAATGTATCTCAAAATATTTGTCATTTATTATTTTTACATAGTTTTAATATTTTAGAATATGTTATAAATTTTATCTGAAATTATTATTAATTATTCTATCAAAATTCATCATATGTTCTGTTATTTTCTAATGGGACAATTATTAAAATATACCCAAAATTATACTAAAATTAAAAAAATATACCAAATCTTATAGAATTAAATAACTAGGTTTTTTTCTCAATGAAAAATCAAGAAACTCCTTGCTAAATTCGAAAAAATATTTTTGTTTTCTTTAATTTAACTACAATATTAAAAACCGGAAGTTTATTTTTTTAAGATCATCGCCATAAAATTTTACAAATTAGTTTCACAGTCTACATTATAACTTCACGAAACTGACTTTACATAATAAATTTACCTAAAAACTTTAGCAAACAACTATACTTAAAATAATAATTGTGTGAAACTAAATTACTAGAAAAATTTACAACCAACTAAATTTACCTTAAAACTTTAGCAAACAACTATACTTGAAAGACCAAATTGGCTGAGGGACAAGGAATCATAGGGAAATTAGTTTTTTAGTAAAATCTATAACAATGAAAATTTTAGCCACATTTTTTGCCCAATTTAACCTCACGCATCTAATTTTATAGTCAACCTATACCTCAGACAAAAAAATGATTTTTGATCGTTTTTCGAGATGGAAAAACGTGTTTTTTTAACTCTAGAAACTAAGGTAGCCAAGATATTATTGTTTTCGTTTACTTTTCTCGACTTTTAGGTTGTCTATTTATGTTAATAGTACTTTATTTTTCAAGAAAAAAGATTTTTGCTCTCTTCTTTCTCTCTTGTCTTTTTGAATTATTAAACATAATTGAATTTTGGAATTTATCGTAATTGATTTTTCATTTATTCAAGATTTATCAGGCATCTTGTTAGTTCTCGTTTCTAGTAACAGATTTGCTATAGACAGGTGAAATTATGATTATATTTGATGGTTCGACGACGTGGGTTCAACGACGGAAACCTGCTAGCGATGATGAAAATCTAATCAGTGTTACTGGGATGACGAATCAAACTTAAGATGTAGTGATGACTTGATAGAATTTGATGAAGATTCGGTGACAATTCGATGGAATCCGCCGCAAATTTCAGTGATAATCCGGTGAAAATTCGACGAAAACAGACGGAAATCTTTGAAAGTCCGAAAAAAAACTTATGATCCCAATGATATTTTGGTTTCTAAATAACGCTCTATATATGTGTTTACATGTATACAAATGTTAGTAACGCTTTATGTACGTGTTTATATGCATATAAATAAATTTAACCCTCTATGTACATGTTTACATTATGCCCATTTTAATAACGCTCTATATATATATTTACATTTATATATAGATCGAATAACTTAACACTATAACTATTTTTAATGCTCTATATATGTGCTACTATGTGTACAAATGTTAATGACATGTAATATATGTTTATAGCATGCTAAAACTTCTCCAATTTGAGAAAACATCGATTAATATTAGTCTTACTGTCATTAAATGTCCACTTGCATTAAATATATATCATAAATAAATGTTTTCGTCCAAAAAGTCAACTACATACGTTATTTTCACGCGCATGACAAAATTCGAGATTGGTTTTTGTGTAATTTTTTCGAACTTTAGACCCAATTATAATGTAATTTATCCATTCTCCTAGACTATTGTCTTTTACCTAATTTGCTCTCCCAATTTTGTCTCTGAGCTAAAGCACCCTACTTAAAATCTATATAATAACCGTGTGAAACTAAATTACTAGAAAAATTTGTAAATTAATTTTACCTTAAAACTTTACCAAACAACTATACTTAAGATCTATATAATAACTGTATGAAACTAAATTTATGAGAAAACTTGATAATTAAATTGAATAATTTATTAAACAAATATACTTAAGATCTAAATAATAACTGTGATAAACTAAATCTACCAAACAACTCAAATATACATGAAACAATTTACGTCATGAGAAGTTACTAAGAATTTGAGAAAAAATGAATGACAAAACTAAGAATTTTCTCATCACTACGAGACAACTTTTCTCAATTACTTTACCTAATAATTCTACCAAACTAAATCTACGTAATAGCTTGCAAAAACAGTTTTCGAAAAAACTTTACCAAACAAATATATATTAAACTCTATATAATCACTGTGCGAAACTATCTGTATTATATTCTACTAAATAACTTTTTCAAAGAACTTTAGCAAATATTACATCTTTAAATAATTTTACAAGAGATTTATGCACATAAACGTTATAACGTATATAAAACTATGCACAATACCTATTTCTCTGTAGAACTGGCAAAACGTTTTTTAATGGAGGCTGGTTTGATAAACACTTATATATATGTAACTAACAACATAGTTCACGTAGGTTTAGAGAATTAATTTAGAGTTATATTATTAAAAATTATTCTAGATTAGTCTGGCATATTCTTCAGATTTTATCTTTAAATTTAATCATAATCAATAAAAAAATAAAAATTCAAAAAAAAATCCCCAACTAACGTGGTCTAGATAGAATTATGAACATTGGTTTGATTTTTTTTTTATGTTAAATTATATAATTAGATAAACATAAGGATAATTTTGTCTTTTGTTAGTCTACATCTTAAATTCTAGAATATACGGCTTAAATTAATAATTTTGGTTTGTTTTTTGATTTTTTTTATAATTTTCCCTTTTCTAGTTGTTAAAATTTTGATAATTAATAAATTAAATTCTAGAAATTTAGGCTTCGAATGGTGACATCATATTAGGTGGTAGAGAATAAGTAGTTCAAGTAGTGCGGAGCATACGATTATCACATGGGAAACATACAGTGCAGAACAAGCATAGTTCGTGCGGAAGAAACGGTGCAAAACAATATTTGAATAGTGATAAATCACAAGTGCGGTACAAATATATCAATTATTTAAACTTTTAATTGCTAACTATTTTTAAAACTTCAGAGTAGAATGTAATTGTATAAAACAACATTTGAAAAAAAAAATTGAACTAAAAAAATTTAGAAATTAAGGCTCTGAATGGTGACAGTGGATCGGACGGTGCTGGAAAAAACATATGGTATTGTGCGGTTTAACTACTGTTTAATTGAGAGAAACACTCTATATATGCAGAATAAGTGTAGTTGGTGCGGAACTAGTAGTACAGGATAATGTATGAATGGTGAAACTAACAACATGCGGTGCATGTATAATAGTTATTAAACTTTGATTAATTATTTTGAACAATTATAATTTCTGATTTTTTTTAAAAAACAAAAATGTGTTATTGGATAAAATTTATTTGTACAAAAAATTTCTTATTTTTTTGGAAAATTTTGGAGAGGTGATGTTCTTCATTTTTGCATAAGATTCAATCCTAACAAACAAGAGATCATTCTAAAGTTCTTGCTCCCAAAAGTTTTGAAGACGCTCACGGCTTGTACATATCTGATAATACATTTTTCTTTTGAAGTTGTCTTTCGGGTGATTTTCGATGGGAACCATCTTTGTTTCCATATTTTTACAAGAACCATTTTTGGCTCTTCATTGTCATAAAACCAGTGAGGGGAGGACAAACAGCTGTTAAGGTAATTATGAGAGGTGGGTGTCATCAGCTTCACATCAAGAGAATATTCATGATTATGGTAACATAATGGTCATTGGCCATGTCAAGAAGTTTGTTCTTAGGAAAGGCAAGCTTAAAACGGACTGGTACTCATGAGTACATGTGCTTCTCCACGGGTTCATTTGCATAGACTGTGGTTAGTCACCTGTTTTCGAACCTTCAACTCAAGAGTGCGCTCCTCCATCGGTCCATCTCGCTTCTCCACGGTTCCAGATCGCTC